AGCTAGCCTGGCTGTGTCCAAAGATGACCACCCACTAGCACCTCATTAATTGACATGCTAAATCTTGTTTGTTTAATCCGTACAAGAAACCAAAGTGTAAAAACAAATTGTTAGTTTACAGAGTGCTGTGCGTCAGACTATTTGTTGTTTCTGAGCAGTTGCCAGGCAACCAGTGGAGACTATTCCTGACTAAGAAATAGTCCAGCACATAACCCCTCCCTAAAATGACAAATTGACCAAAGATTTTTATAAAACCATGTGTAGCAGAACTTATTTTTTTCTTCTTTCCTACCTCATTTTACGACCCTTCAGATTCATTTTGTAACCCACTGGAGGGCCTCAATCCCCAGGTTGGAAACCACTAAACTGAACTAATTAAATGTAAAGTAGCTAAACTAGCTCCACCTCAACCAGCTATAACAGTTAAATGCTGCTTACACAGCATGCTGATAATGTACTTTGATTAAAGCTGATTATATGTGTGTACTTTTACTTCTGTTTTAGATGCATAACTATTAATTGTAATTGAAACTACTTCCACTACTGGTCTTAGCCAATCCAATCATAAAGTCCAGTCCAACTTTTTATGCTAGATGTCTGAAAGCTCTCTCATTCATAGAAAATCAAAGAAAATTCTAGTAATATTAAGAAAATATGGAGTCATTTTATATCATATTCTCCCTTTAGTGCCTCTTATGTGCAGGAATTCAAGATCTTGTGAATGAGCTGTATCAACAACATAGTATTTCTATAAGTTATGTCTCTTTTATAATGTAATATTACATTTTAAATTGAATGTTATGTGCAGTGTTTTTGAAAGGGGAGAAATATTGTATGCATTATGCGTTATTTTTGGTGTTAACTTAACATGTTTAAAACCTGAAACTCCGTGGTTTCAGAATATTGATTGATCAGTAGTTTATATGTACTTTGTGAAGACATAAAGATCAGTATCTGTGTGAAGTCCTCAAAAGGAAACTGATGGGTTACTTCCTCGCCTGTGACGTTTTCAGATAGATAGCAATTAATTACAGGGCGTCGACTTAAAACTCAGTTATTTCCTATGAGAGAAACCGTTTCACAGCTTTACTGTGGTGTACAAAATATTAAAAATGTTGTGCAAAATAGAAAATAAATCACAACAACAAACTTTAAGCATCATTGGCCTTGACAAGTGAAAATCTTGAAGACATAAGAAACAACAACAAGCTGTTACAGATATCATCCAGCAGGTCTGTGGCGAGCTATGCCTCCTATGAATTATTGCATCGATCATTTTAAATCCATAAATCTCCAACCTAATTAAAAAAAGAAGAAGAATACACATACCTTTTTGTGTTCTCCCCCGGTCCTTCACTATTCAACTCGCCAAAGCAGAAGAGGCGACCAAAAAAAAAACATTTCCTCTTTTTCTCTCCGTTATAACACCGACTTTCAACATGTACACAAGTATCTCTGAGTGTTGTTTTAAGGAGGTCTCGCAGTTACACACGCTTCATTACACTGACACACTGACACAGCCTGCAGCAGGTACCAATGCGGAAGATCACGCCTTCTTCTTACCCCCACATTTCACACTTCTTCACGCTCCTCTGGTGTCCAGGAAGGACCCATCACACTCGGTTTATAGTCGTTTACTGAGCGTTAAAGCGCGCAGGTGATGTTTTGCACGTTTGATACGCTCTTTAGATTTATAACTTTATAGTCAGAATGCAAAAAGTTAGAAAAAAATGTTCAGTAAGACTGGATCTTTATAAGTCTTACACTAATTTAATGTAAACCAATAAAATACATTAGAATTTAATCTCCTAACATAAAGAAAATAACAATTTCAAGGTCCATTAGTAGCTGTTCTGGAGCTTTCAAGCTTTCCACAGTGGTGGAAGAAGTATTCAGATCCTTTACTTGAACAAAGGTAGCAATACATGACTGTAAAAATACTTCATAACAAGTCAAGTGCAAGTACAACTGTACAAGTATGTAATTATTATCAGCCAAATGTGCTTAAAGTACAGGAGGAGTAGAGCTGATTATATTCTGTTTGGTACTCTAATATACTAACACATCATATTTTATTAGTTCATCATATTTTTTTTATGTACATTTTAAAATACAAAGTAACTGGTAACTTAAGCTGTTAAATAATTGCAAAGGTGTAAAAAAGTACAACATTAGCCTACGAATTGTACTTTAATGCGGAAGTAAATGCTCAAGTCAAGTCCTCCAATTTATAAGTACAGTATTTGAGTGAACTACTCGGAAACAAACCACCACTGATCATACATCACATGACCTTCATCAGCAGATGGAGTCTCAGTTTAGTCTTGCTAAATCTTACTGAGTTGAGTCATATTAAGTTGATTCTATTGTTTGTTAGTAACTCACATGATATGTATTTATAACTTCTCCCCATCATTATCACTGTCTGAACCGATTCATAACCCAATCAAATGGATTTGACGTTCATCCTTACACAATATTTCACAGTGATTGAAAGCTCCAGAACAGTGGACCTTGTGGTGAGACTGTTGATTGAAAACAATGTCTTAGAGGATTGGTCATTTTTCTTGTAGTGCACCTGGACCACTGGCCCTGATCAGAACTAATTGTTGTAGCATGGAAAGCAGCCACAAAACATCTTCTTGAAAGGATTGTTTTTATCAGATGCCAAGGCCCTTTCCACCTTGAAGACGGCATCCTGAACGATCACGTCAGTGTTTTGGACATTTTTCTGGATGCTATCAACAGCTGTCCCCTGCTCCTCTGTGAGCACAGCCACATCCAGAAACAGCTCCTGGATCCCCTTGATCCTCTTCTCCAGCTCCACCAGTTCCTTGTGTCGGCTCTCGATCTGAAGTAAAGCCGAGTGAGCCGTTTTGCCCTCCACCTGGGTGCTGAACACATTCAACTCCCCGCTCTCCATCATCTCCTTCAGCTCCTCTGTGCTGACATCCCTGCCCACCACCTCCACCTCCATCTGCCTCTGGATCTGGTGTTTACAAGCCTCCCTGTGGCTCATCTCTGTGTCATTGTAGCTGAACATCACATCCCGCAGACCATTGCTGAGACACTGGTACTGTGTTCGAGCTATGCGTGCTGTGGGGTCAGAGCTGCCACACTGGGCCTCAAGTTCCTTATTGACAGTACTCATCATGTGCAGCCGCTGCAGCACAGCTTCTCCCCTGCGTTTAATATCCACCCATTGGAGTCCCGCTTTGTCGCACAAGGGTGCGAGCTCTTGTTTAAGGCCTGGTAGTTCACATTTTTCAGCTCACTGATGTCGTTCTGGATCTGCTGGATCTCCAGACGTATCTGTTTGGCCTCCTGCAGGACACCACCCAGGTCCTGGTCAGCGAGTGATGCTGTTGCTGCCTCAAGCTCTAAGAGATTGTTCAGCTCCACTGTGCTGAAACCTTCAGAGTCGGTCTGCAGCTGATGGAGGTGCCTCAGCCTGTCTCTCATGTCTGCAAGGAAAAAAAATCACACAAAAGACGACAAGAGAAAAGATGTTGGTTTATTCGTCTGGGTAAAGTGATTTCCTTGGTTGGAAGTTAGTCTTACAAGGGGTCATAAGTTCATTTTTAAGGGTCACAAGATGATTAAACCTGCATGAATTGATTTTCTTGAGGTAGTCGGGGGACTTGTGGGTTACGTGTTAAAAATGCTCCAAAAACACTTGATTCTACATTTCTAATAATGCACTTCACTTTAGATGCATAGTTATTTGATCTCTTGTTAATATGAAGATATTGATCAGTGCAGCTTTAATGGAACAGGAAGGAAAAACACTGTTCTGCTGCATATATTTGTATCTGAGGTCAGTAAGAATTGTTCAAATGAAACAATCTGAGAAGATTAGAGCACAAAGTCAAAATTACAACCTGTAAATGAGGGGCTGCAAGTCGACACCTAATTTTAAAGGTTCAACACTCAAATTAGGTTGGGAACCCTGAGATATTTTAAGGTGTAAAAAAACCTAAAGTAATTCTGTACAACACTTCCTTCCAAGAAACTAAAGCAGCAGAGGCTAAGACATCTTCACTTTCCCAAGTATCAAGCCTAATTTAAGATACCCTTCTTAGACTTTAGAGAACATTATACAACTGTTTTCACAGGGTGACAAATAAACAGATCTTATGTGTGTGAAATGCTTCTTTAATCCAGAAGTTGAATGACTATTTCACACTTAAAGAGGGCAAATGTTTGTACATTTCACTGAACATAGAAACTGACCAGTCAAGTACAAAAAGATACTGGTGTGCCAACTCTCCTTTTATGTAGGAGCTGAGTTAGAGATGAGAGTGAGAAAGCAGAAGAAAGAAATACAAACTAAAAGACAGACGGCCAAGAGTTATTTAGTTGCAACAAACAAGCTTGTTCTTGTTCTTGTTCTTGTGTGAAATATTTCCTGAGCATGACTGAATACGTCATACCGGCCAGGGCTCAGTCCAGCACATAACAATCAGAAACTTTTGTAATTGATATATGTTGCAGGTGTGAGGGTTTTCTACCTCTTTAGTATCATATAATCTTAGAAGGAGGAACTTGATCTGCCAGGACATTTAATCTCTCTTCAGGACTTACCAAACAAGTTATAAAGCAGGCAACTATGGTTTCAACATGTATGTTGAAATGTAGTAAGTGGAGATACTTAGAACTGAGGTTTTCTCAGTGGAAATTAGCAGAACTGCCTGAACTAATCCTGAACTGCCTGACAAAAATAAGTTTTACAATAGATTAATGTCCATTTTTTCACACTTTTTCACAAGAGTCAGAGTAAAGAGGCCCCAAATCCAGGATTTCTTACCTGTACTGGATTTTTCAGTTCAGATTTCCTAAAACTTACCTAACCCTAAATGTCAGAGAAGCCCAATAAATATGGAACATACAAACCTAAAATAGGATAATTTATATTCCTTACTGGTATGGCTGTTAGTTCCTCTCCTTCTGTGGCACAAACTGATCACAGAAATGGTTGTTCAGTCCGACAGGCAGCCAGCGTGATGGCTGTAAAAAGAGTGAATGATTTTTAAAATCATCACTCATATACCTGTTTAAGAGGAAAGGGTTTTAGAAACAAAACTTTCTGCATTCCTGTGGCGTCACATGGAGTGACGTACAGTAAGGTGAAGCCAAGCGTCTTGAGGATTTATTATAAACAACTGATACATCTGTGTTTGCATTTTTCTATATTCTCAGGGCAGCTTTCATCTAATTACACTTTTGTTTTTAATGTCTAGCAACACATAAGGTGATAAGGGTTATAAAGAGAGACTATAAAGCTAAGATCTCAACAAAGTCAGATCAAACAAAGTCACCACACACTGACAGTGGACACCAAAAGCATGTGAAAAAAACCCTGACAGGAAATATTTTAGATATCTTATCCTCCATAGGGGTGGGACTGACGTGTTCATATGCGATAAGAAATCGTAACAAAAGTCTTGCAGAAGTCAGTTTCATTAAATGTATTCTGACCAAAGGCTCGTTCTCACCCTGCATGCAGTGAAGCCACCAACTGTCAGCTGATTATCAGTCATGCTTCCAGAAAAAGAAGCTGAAGTATATTTGAACCAGGAAAATGCATGGTTTGGTTCATGTGTAGGAAGCTTTGAAATACTCATAATCATTTCCACAGCCAGCAGTGGTTTGTATGTGATCAGTAATTTCCACAGGCCTCCATGAGTTTGACTCACTCTGGTTTTTCTCAATGGGTTTTTCTTTTCTTGCAAAGTGGATGTGTGACTCAGCTGTAGATGCACACTCCTTCGGTGTATAACTGACACTTTATTCTGAAGAAAAAGAAACCAGCAAAAAATGAGACCAAAATATCCCCCAAGAACCACAATATAAGCAGCAATCAAATGCACAGTGTCGTCTTTCTGTTTCATTTATTCCTCCTCTTGTGTGTGAAAGTACTGAATTATAAAGTCATTTGAAATCAAAAACCTAAATAATCATATGAACTTTCAGCTAATTAAAAAAACCTCTACCACCAGATGGCAACCACGCGTCACAAGAGCTGATCACACATCAACCCCAAAGGATGTTAGGCTGCTATTCACTGTGAATGTGATGTGACGTTTCACAGGAAGCTGCCAAACTATATTACACTGAAACTCCATCAAACCTAGTCTGTTTGGGACATTATATCTTCTCCAGAGGGAACTGCATGAAGTCTGATAAATGGCCTCACGTAATGTCCTTTGAGTCAGCGTCAATTGGGACTAAAGACTTCAAGTTTGAAAATAAAAAAAGGGTGTGAAGTTAGAAAAAAGTGAGATTACTACAACTCTGTAGCCCACTCCTCATCTCTGCATGCAGCTAGCAACTAAAGGTTACATTATCTATAGTGGCATAATAGAGCGATTGAGTGGCATTGTGGGTAATGTAGGTGCAGAAGAAAAATTATTTGTAGAAGTAATTTAATGCATCAAATTTGATCAATTTTTTTTTTCAAAGCCTCCATTGTGAGTCAGTCAGTATTACAGGAGTGCAGTGC